CAAATAAAACCCTAACTATTCCTCTATAATTTGGTGAAGGAATCAATTAAAAATAATACAGGGTGTTCAAATAAACGAGAATCAAAATGGTATCGTTAATTAAAGGCTACCCTGTACTAGGACTGATATGGGATCATAACTCAAGTACTATCATGATACATATTATTTATGATTTATTGTTAAATATTTACTGTTAGTAATTTAGCTTTAAATAATTATGAGATATAATATAAAGTCCACATAAAGTAAATGGCAGCTGCTTGGTAATTTCTCAACAACTTATAATAAATTAATCAATATAAGTAATTTAGCCTGTTTATTGTTACTTTAACTAATTTACAAGTAATATTCTACTTAATTATATTATTAAAATAGTTAAATTTGCACATTATTTACAGTGAATGAATACATTTTAAATAATACATTATTTGTTTATGTACATATTCAATACACATTCTTGATTACATGTTTATTTTATTATGTATACCTGTAAATTGTTTATGCTGTAATGATAAACGGTATTATAATATACTTTATCTTTATAATAGAAATATATTAATTTATCGTATTGCTTTTTATTATATATAGCATTTATATGTGGTTTTAATAAAAGGAATACCTTTCACCTATGCTTCAATATACCAATCTTACAAAATATACTTTATCTTTATAATAGAAATATATTAATTTATCGTATTGCTTTTTATTATATATAGCATTTATATGTGGTTTTAATAAAAGGAATACCTTTCACCTATGCTTCAATATACCAATCTTACAAAGTTTATATTAAACTGAACTGTGCAGCTATAAAGCGGTGTTGAAAGCACATTTTAATTATTGAAATTATATTTTTATTTAATATAACATTTAATCTGTATGATCATAAATTCATTAATGTATTAACGTTTATATTATTACATAATAATCATATTGCGCAAAACATTATGTATATCATTTATACTGAATGTGTATTAATACGCCAAACATAATAATGTATGAATTAAAAAGTTAAATAAAAAGATTTTTAAATAATTTACAAACTGTGCTTGGTAATCAAATGTTGATGTAACTGAGTGTGCTAAATGGGTACTAGTGACTAGGATTATAGAAATTATTGGGACATTGTAATCTATATTACACTATGTGCGCTATTATGTGGCGTGATCATTTTTATAGCGTTATGGGGCTATCACCACAAGCGTAGGCTTAAGAAATATCAAACTTCTATAAATATTCAAGCACTAATTACACACCGCATAATCAAACTGTAAATGAGCCACGTCAGCCTGAACACACAATTAACGTTAATAGCGCCATAAAGGTTAGCGAGCCAGCTAGTAGTTGGTCCTGGTGTTTATATTAATCAGGCTACAGAACACACCGCATAATCAAACTGTAAATGAGCCACGTCAGCCTGAACACACAATTAACGTTAATAGCGCCATAAAGGTTAGCGAGCCAGCTAGTAGTTGGTCCTGGTGTTTATATTAATCAGGCTACAGGAAATCTACCTGTTACTTCAAACGACGGCCCTGTAAATCAATCACCTGAAAACGAATCAAGCAAAAATATGTCGTGGAATTTTTCGGGCTCCATGAATGGGGTGAGCGGGGTAAATATGGGTCCGGTGCATAATACGGGCAACATGGGTCCGGTAAACGTAGGCAATAATGCCGGCCTTCATGTAAATGGTCCTGGTATCAGCAGCGAATCGAGCTCTGGAAATAATTTTAATATGAGCCATTTGTATAATAACAACATTATTGGTGGCATGCCAACTTCAAGTGGCAGTAAGTCGAGTACCGGGCAGCATTCTTTGTCTAAAACAGATCAGGTAAGCATTATTAATATATGTTATTAATATTACATAGAAAATACTATGTAAAATTGCCAAAATTACATGAGTTTTTAATTACATTTGTTATATGTTCATTATTGGTTTTATAAAATACATAAAGTACGCAAATAATATTTAGTCATTTACATTTAGTAGGAATTTATATTAATTAAATTAGTGTTAATTGTATCATTTAATTAATCTGTATATTAATAATTTAGGGAATTTTATGATTCAAAATTTTTATGTTTTGTTTTATAGTCTGTCAATAAAAAAATTCAATAGAAGTTTGTTTGGAAATAGTCTATTAAATGATTGGGATACGGCTTGGGGGTTTCTTTATAAGTCAGAGACTATAATATAATAGTTTATGCCGCATAACAACATTAATACGATTTAATTTAGAAATCAGTTTTGGTCCAGCCAGTTGAGTATCAGCAAAATGTTAACGATGAAGAATCCGCGATATTTGATAAACTCTCAATTATTGGCCAAGGTAGTTTTGGTAAAGTGTTACAAGTGAGAATGAAAAACAATAACGAAGTTCGTGCCGTCAAATGCATGCCTATATTTGGTAATATACACAGTTTAAAAATTAATATAGCTCGTTTTTATAACATGAGTTGCATATTGTCAATTTTGTTGGATATAGCTAGCATATTAAATTATTTGATTCAACATTAATTTTAAGTCATTTGAAATAAATAAAATAACTAATGTTTAATTCAAATTCAAAGTATATACAAGGCTACTTGTCACTTAAAATATACAGAATATAGAATTTTGGATATCTATGTTTTATAGGGTTAGACGACAAAAACAAAGTGTACCGGGAGGTGGAGAACCTAAAGAAAGTCAACTCGGCCTATATTGCAAAATATTACGATTGGTGGATCGGTGAAAAAACATTCTACATCATCATGGAGTATTGCCCTGATACTTTGCGCAAGATCATTAATTTAAGACCAGCGGTATTTACGCGAAATTACGGGCAAACAATGGGCGACTTGGAGTACTACATGTCGTGCGAGATCTTCCGCCAGACGCTAGAGTGCGTGCAATATATCCACGAATTGTGTCCACCCGTAATTCACAGAGACCTGAAACCGGAAAACATATTGATTTCGTATGATAGTAAGCATGATCGTTTTGTCAAGCTGTGCGATTTCGGATTGGCCGCCGTGCACCATAAGACGATAGATAATCAAGGTTCCAACGCGCATACCATGGACGTTGGCACGGTCGGCTATCAAGCGCCTGAAATTGGTAAAGGTGTCAAATACGATCACAAATCGGACGTGTACAGCTTGGGCGTTATTGGCGCGGAGTTATTTGAGCTTGATCGAGTAAAATTAGAGAAGTATAATTAAGCGTTCTAGTCATAAAAATTATCGCAGTAACAGAAAACTCAAATTACCAAAAATAAATCCAGCATGTATACAGTATATGAATCGATCACATTAATAACCTAACTAAAGTATTAATTATACATAATACCATATTGTACATGATTAATAATCTACATTATCTATAGATAAATACAATTGTTTGAGTATTTAGAACACTGGTTATTAAATTGATAGATTCTTTTATCGATAATATATATATATGGCAAAATAAAATAGCAAATTGGCGAGTAGTTGGTAAATTTGAGATTTCTATCACTGTACTTTCAACTCGAGTTGATCGTGTAAATAATATAGTGTATATTATGGCAAAGTCCGACACTATTAATGGTACAGGCTTAGGCAACCAATTGGAGAGTGTGTTGAATATATCGAACCCTTCAGTTTTGCACTTTGACCCATGACCCCACGTGATGCCCATACATTAGAAATTGTATTCAACTCACTCTCCCATTGGTTGCCTAAGCCTGTACTATTAATAGTGTCGGGCTTGACCATAATACACACTGTATTTAAGGCCTGCTGGTTATATATTAAATTATTATGAAATCTTAATTTTTTATTTATTTTTAAAAAATATTTGAATATTTTATATTTGAATGAGTTTATAATTTAATAATTACATATAAATAGTTCATTTTTTTCTCTCACTCTCTCTCTCTCCCTCTCCCTATTTTGTGGTCCTAAATCTATTTACGATTACAATTATAATTATTAAATTACTATTTGATTCAATTATAAACTACCTAATATACTTTGTAAAATAATTATAATGTAAAAATTTAATATGTTAATACATAACCAGTTTTATCTCTTTTTGTTTTGTTTGGCGTGTTTGTGGGTCCGGCAAATAAGACAGTGCCATAACTAATAATCAGTTGAACCAGCCCATTTCTATCAATACATTTGTTTGATTAGTTTGGAAGTTAATTAATTTTTTATATCAGTCCATCTAAATCAGGCCACGGGCTAGACGAAAGTCCCATGATGAGAAACTTACAAGTCACTTTGAGCTCGATGCTGAAATTAGACGATCGAGGTAAAGAGAGACCCGAATGCTCGGAAGTGTTGGCAAAATATGACGATTGGGGAATCGACAAGGTTATAATCGGGAGGCAAGTTAAACTGATTGCCATAATTAACAACCTTAAGGATAATGATGAGCATCGATTTTTCTATGAGTTTTTTAAGCGATGTAAATGTAATGGATAAATATCAACCTAAAATGTTACTGATGAGTCAGGTACATGCAATGAGAAGTAATGCTTGATGAAAATGTTTGACAATTAATTATAACGTGCAATGTATTTTTAATGAAATTTATAGTAATATAAATATGATAAATTAGCGGTGATAATTCTAGAGTTAAAATAATAATAATATATAACCCGGTACTAAAATTCATTTAAAAATATTATTTTTAATCGTAATTTATATAGCAAATAATTTAGGTAAAATATTTTTATTTACTTTCAAGTTAATAAATATTATATTTTACTGAATTATTTATTAAAATAATTTTTTAAAAATATTTCAATAATTAATTATATCAGAATTTCTAAATATATGGTATTTCTCATGATTTATCAGATTGTACATGTGAAATATATATTATATTTTTAATAACTAAATAAACATGGCACTTAATGTTCGAGAGTATAAATTTTATTTAAAATTCATAAATTCATTACATAAAAATTTCCTTTGCTATATAATTTATATATAAAAATACAATATAAATAATTTAGTGTTTTATGAATAAATTTTTACATTAAAACTCTATAAAAATTTTATACTTTTAATATATATTATGACAAATAAAAACTAATATGCAATTTATGTATTATTATTATAACCATGTAAAGTATTACAAGGTAAATTATTTTTAATAATATGTTTCCACATAAAGACCACTTACTCGACTGGTGACTATACACACACATCACTATAGAATTATAACTAAAGAATATCCCATAGAATAACATATAAAAAATTATTTGTTTTCCATTGATTCTTATATGACGTACCATTGGCAAATTGACTTAAAAACCAATTGACCTAAACTTAAATACCTTAATGACCAATAGACTTTTGACCATTTTAAGGATAGGTCAGGTTAGGTTAGGTCAAGGGGAACATTTTACACTGGTCATCAGGTATATTTACCTACTGGTCATTAAGTTATTTAAGTCAATTGTTTAGGTCAATTGGTTTTTAGGTCAATAGACCCGCACCCATAAATTAGTGCTAAAGAATTGAAAGCCTGTTCATTCAGCGAGTTATTCGATGCCATTATTATTGCTAATAAATATCACGTCAAGAAAGTCGAGATCATTATTACCGACTATTTTATGGAGAAACTCAATACGAGTTATTCGATCGACTTTCTGTCCATTTCGGAGACCAAATCGTTGGACAGTTTGGAGAAAATGTTTAATTTGCATGAAGTCTATGAGATCTCGAAGTCATATTATTTGAACTATTTTTCTCGTTATGTGTAAGACTTATATCGATAGTAAATCTCATCGCGGAGTCAATGCTTATAAATACTTTTATTTTAAAAATCAATTTCTACCAAATCTTATGACAAAAAAATACATTTGTTTTGAATGGCAGTAAACCATCGATTGATTCAATTGTATCTTGTTTTGTGTGATTGTGTTTACAGTTAACATATTTGGTGGCTATTATGTGTCCACTAAGTGTGCTTGCTTATAATATTGTTTAGTATTACATTACCTAACATTGAATAACAAACATTTTAATCAATAGTCAAATGATTTTTAGTTATTATTAATAGTGAATTTAATTTTGTTGTGATTTGCAATAAAGCGTTAAAAAGGCATTTAATGTTTAAGATATGTTATAATAATCAATAAAATTTTATAAAATGAATTAAATACTAATTCATGGCATTCATTATAAAAACTGATTTTTATTTTAAAATAAGCGCGCATTTGCTAAACATTTATTGTCATAGAATATTTATTATGTTTATTCATAGACAATGTGCATAAAAGTCTATACAAATAACCCCGGTATTGTACAACACTCTCAGGCGGAGAGCATTCAGGGCTCTACCGCTAGGCTGACCAGATATTTTTTCAATACTTTGTTTAAAACTGGACAATTTGATGAAATGAGATAATATTAGAATTAATCTATGTTTTAAAACTGGACAATACTATCCATTACATTGTAATAGATCAATTACAAAACTGGACACTATGTGCAACAACTGGACAATCCAGTGCAAAAATGGACATCTGGTCACACTATCTACCGCCAAAGTTCCTGGAAAATATATAGTGCCTCAATAAAAGTAATGTTATATTTTTGTATAATGAATTTAAAAATATATGTTTGTTTTATTATTTCCGGAAAACATTTACCTAAAAAATTACCTAAATATATAAGTTATATGGGTAAATTATCTTTATCACAAGGGTTACCCGTAATGTGACAAAGTACATTAATTTAATTAATTTATATAATTAAGTAATGTATATTTATTTAATTATTTTTAAGTTTTTTGAAAATAAATGCAATTTTAATTATAATATTATACATATTTAGAAAATATTTTTAAAAATAAATTTAAGATTAAAAATGCTATGCATATAAAAATTGATAGAATATAACATTAAGCATATACTGTAAAGTAAGTAAGTTTTTGGTAACCCTGTTAATTATCATTAGATATATTAGCTGTTAGTAATTTAGTTTTAAATAATTATGAGATATAATATAAAGCCCATATAAAGTAAATGGCAGCTGCTTAGTAATTTCTCAACAACTTATAATAAATTAATCAAATATAAGTAATTTAGCCTGTTTATTGTTACTTTAACTAATTTACAAGTTATATTCTACTTAATTATAATTTTATCGAAATCGTTAAATGTGCAAATTATTTACAGTAAATGAATTTGTTTTTTAGATAATATATTATTTGTTTATGTACATATTCAATTACACATTTTTAGTTACATGTTCATTTTAATTATTATGTATAACTGTAATTTTTTATACTGTAATGATAAAGGGTATTATAAAATACTTTATCTTTATAATAGAAATATATTAATATATCATAGAAATTATTTAGTATACATAGCATTGTATGTGGTTTTAATAAAAAATATCTTTTAACTATGCTTTAACAATCTTACAAGTTTGTGTAAAACTGAACTATGTAACTATTATAAAGCAATGTTGAAAGCACATTTTAATTTTTGAAATTATATTTTTATTTAATATTTGTATAATCAGAAATTTATCAATGTATTAAAGTTTACAATATTACATAATATTCACATTGCGCAAAAACATTATGTATGGCATTTGTACTGAATGTGTATTAATAAGCTAAACATAATAGTAACATTAATGCAATTAAATTAGATTTTAGTTAGTTTTTTAAATAATTCACAAACTGTGCTTGGTTATCAAGTGTGGATATTACGGAGTGTGTTAAATGAGTACTAGTGACCAGGATTATAGAAATGATTGGGCCTTTGTGGTCCCAATTACATTATGTGCGCTATTATGTGGCGTGATCATTTTTATAGCGTTATGGGGCTATCACCACAAGCGAAGGCTTAAAAAATATCAGACATTTATTAATAATCAAGCACTAATTAACGCACCGCCTAATCAAACTGTAAATGATCCACGTCAGCCTGAACAAACAATTAACGTTAATAGCCCCATAGAGCTTAGCGAGGCAGATACAATAAATCAGCATGGTACCTTTGACGAATCAAGCGACAATATGTCGGCGCATAATACAGGTGACATGAGTGGGTTCAATAATACCGGCAACATGGGTCCGGTAACCGTAGGCAATAATGCCGGCCTACATGTAAATGGACCTGGTGCTAGTGACGAATCGAGCTCTGGAAATAATAGCCAGGGACAAGGTGGTCTAAGTGGTGTTAGTGGTAACTACATAAATATTCCGA